AAAAAAAAAAATTGTGAAATGTGCCAAGTGTTTTCTTTAGGAAAGCTTACTGTGTCATAATGAAGATTATTCTTGTGAAGAAATGGCAGTTGTTGTTTTGGGTCCAAGTCATTAAAACGGAAGCGGAAAAGATCAACTTCCTGTTGTATAAACCAGCGCCTTAGATCTTCCCTTTGAGAGACAAATGGAAATAAACATTTATCTTTTGTAGCTGAACAACTTATATTCTGACCACATCTTCCAGTATTCCTAAATGGAGACTAAAGACTTACGTTTGGCAGTAGGCCAGTCTGAGAATGAAGTGGGAGATATGGTCTTTTCTTCGTTTTTCATATTCAGTTGGTCCACTTTGAGATTTCTTGTCATCCTTAAGAGTTAGAAAACAATTAGTGAATTTGAAAAAAAAATTATCATGTACTAAAAGTCATGTTTATGGTAGCTGTACACTAACTGTACACTAACTTCCATTATCTCAGGCTCTTGTAATTCAGCATAGGGTCTTAAAATGTTAGTAAATGAGTTATGTTTTCAGCAACACCCAGCAGTGTCTCTTCTTTACTAATACAAATACATTTTATTGCTAAATCATGCTATTTCATCACTATTGCAAAGAGAATTTGATGGATCCTGCGCAAGCTTAACTCCTCAAAGTCAATACTGTGTCAATACACATCGAGCTAAACACTGGTCTCACTCTAAAAGCTATGCCAGTTTATTAGATATGTCTCACTCACAAGGGGGGCACAAGCACCATGAAGTGCAGTGGGATATTACCCTAACCAAATCCAATCCCTGTGTTTTCATTAAAACACATAGCGGGTAAAAGTTTAAAAATAAATCTCTTTGTAATAAAGCTTTAGTTGAAGTTGTTGACAACACAATGCAATAACTGACTCATTAATACTGTTTAAAGGTGCACAATGGGAAACATACTCACAGCATCTGGTCTGTAAGGAAAGTTCAGAGTTTTAAGCTGACTCTCAAGTTTGCCTTTATACTGATCTGAAACCTTGACATGGCTCACGCCCAAGTTCTCCACAGTCTTCAACACTACAGTGGCATTAAAACAAACATTACAAACCACATGTCCTAAATAAAATGTATTACACAAGAGCAGAGAAAACAATGCTTACAGTGATTTTCATCATTTGATTTCACAAGTAGTATGAGACAAATCTTACACTTCAGTCGTTCCACAGCAAATGTTTCAAATTCAGAGAGAGAGATGTTTTCAAGAGGAGGCTGTCCATAAAACTGCAGGTGCTGCCCATAGAGCTCCGACTGAGGGTTAGTGCTAATCTTCTTTCTTCTGCCTCCAAACTGCATAGTGCCTGATGGTAAAAGAAATCAAGCATGTTTTAATGTACCACTTGCTAACAAGCTGGGTCCCAAACCTGCCATATCTGATGTAGTGAGCCATTGACCAAAGCGACATTCAATACAAATTCATGAAAATTAAGTAAGCTGTTCTTATTTCAAACGCATAACGCTTGATTTTGCCATTTTCTCTTCACTAGGAGTTGAATAAATAAAACACACTATTGTGGAGAAGACCCGAGCCACCATTTAAACGCTTATGACTAACAAACATTAAGAAATTCACTGAGCTTCTTTGATTTCAAACAGTAAAGGATGCTGCCATACAAAATCAGAACAAACGAATTACTGCACCGCATCTGCTATTAACCTTTAACCAGTCAGTGCAGAAGTGGCACCCGGTATCACTTAAAGCAAAACTTGGCAAACGGAGCTTCTCCTTGACTAATCTTCATCACAGTCTCTCAGCTATGGATTGAAGAGAAGAGTCGAAATGTTCCTGACATCTAGAAATCAGCCTCTGCAGACAAACTGAACTGACAGGGTGAAGTTATGTATGTTTTGTTATGTTACACTGGCTCAGCAGTCAGTAACTGTCGTTCATAAACTCAATTTCTACATTTAAGGCTAAATGTAGCCGCTAACAGAGACTATTTAGCTTAAGTTAACAATAGAGCTCATAGCAAGACGTTAAGGATAGTGAGAAACAATCCAACTTTGACGTTTGCTAGGTATCAGATTTGAGTTTAAACTGCGTTGAAAAGACCGAGCTCAAAAACAGCCCGAGAAACTTATTTCACGGTTGAGGAGCAACAAGAAGCATATAATACTGTCGTTACATTACCGATTAGATGACGCTTTTAGACTCCTAATAACGCAGTCCCGCCAAACAAAAGGGGCTGTTCAACAAACGCGGGTAAAAATATGACGTTGCATCCGACACCGGAAGAGAACGAAAGTTGTGAAGTGGTGTGTACTCGTTTTACTTTTCAGGACAGCCCGCCGCGTCTCTCAAAATAACGATGACCTCCATGAAAAAACAGGCAAACAGTTTCTTTTGAAATACTATTACCCAAACTTGGCTTGAGCCAAGACAAGCCACTGCCGTTTCACACTATGTTTCCATTTCTGTTTTTTGGCGTTTGAACCAAATCCGACACAAACTCACAGGCGCAAGTGTATTACATAACAAACGCCCCAATAAAACGCGGGTTCACCTTATCTTCAAATCAAGAAAATCATTGTTTTTCAAACGATTAATAACAGCTTTAAAATTAAACTTTAAAATTTAAAGATATTAAAAAAAAAATCATACAGAAACCCCTTTCCCAAATGCCCATTTGATAAGGTTGGTTGAACTGATTTTCTTCTGAAATATCACTACTCCACAGACAGTTTACCTATCAGATCAGCAAATTTCCACAAATAAGGATTACTGGCATTGTCCTTAGCATATAAACTTCTCTTCACACAGACACTGCATATGGATATACGGGTGTGTATGTAGGAATGAATGAAACACCGCATGTTTGACACAATAATGTTAGATTTAAAATAAACAGAATATATTCTGTAAAGCACTTTCTGGAAAGGTTTAAATTCCATGTCATTTATTCCTATGATTTTTGTGGTCGAAATAGATCAGACATTTCGCATTTATTTTTATTCACTGTATGTAATCCAAAGTATTCTGGTTTGACGTACAAAAGTTTTGTATTTAGAGAAATTGGTAAATGGTCATGTTATATTATAGAGACATTTTAGTTTATTTTATGGCTAACTCAATAAACAAAACAAAACAAAAATTCTAACCCAAATTCTGCTCATTTTTGGTAAGTTTCATATGCATACAGTAAAATGAACCTCTACAAAAACAAATGTCGTTACGTTTTTAACTGACATCAACCATTGCTACAATTTTCTCAGCAGACGGTTAGGTGTTTTCTGCCTTTAAAAAAATGAAGCTGCAGTTATTTAAAGTTATTTAACTAACTATCTGATAGTTTCATGACATGTATTCAGAAAGGGAGAAACTGTAGTGGAAAGTACATTTACTCCCTTTTAACACATTTCCGTGTTTCTGCTTTATAACATGCATTTTACTTCACATACAAAAAGTAAAAGAAGTAAAATGCACTTTTTAATCCGGTAGTGAGTAATTTTCACACGCTTTTTTCTTGGTTGTTGTGATCCGTCCACATAAAACACGCGTAGAAGATAAATAGAAAAATAATATCAAAGCCGGGTAAAACTATGTGCGATAATGACAATAATTCAGCGTTTAAACAGACGTGACTTTTAGGGCTAACATATGAGAACTACAAGTGTTCCCAAGACTCCCGAGGACAGAGGCGCGTTCACGCCGACTCTCTTGCTTTGTGCATTCTTTGGCTCTGCTGCTTAGCAACAAATACTAGCGAGCTAGCCAACAGCCTGCCTGGCTAGCTCTCACGCGCAACGTAGCTCACTGAAATAGGCAGCAATGCACATCCATTCTATAAATGTCATGAGAGTGACCTCAGGTGTTGACAGTCAATAAACGGTATCTTTAGTTTAGGAGAGAACGTTTTTGCACTACACAGGGAAGGAGTCGTTAGCGAACGGAGCAGAAGGTTGTCTTTCTTCTGTGAAAAGTGGCTAATCTTAGCTAGGCACCCTTAGCAGCGGAGTCTCTTGCGTCTCTTGCCACGGAGAAGAGCGGCGGGAGGCTGTAGATATGTGGATGTGGGTTAGCTGACTGCATAGTTCGCCTAATGTCATTGGATGAGTTGTAGCGTCGTTTTACAGGTAAGAAACTGCACGCTTCTTTGGCATGCTTTCCCATCATTTCTTCACCGTTTATTTCACCCAGCTTTAATGCACTACCTCGGGAGCTGCTCTGTACTTCAAGGGGAGCCTCCTTTCAGCAATTCAACAGGTCTTATCTTGACCAAGGCAAGGGATTTGAGTGAAGAAGAGGAGTGGGAAGTTGACTTCGAACTTAATTCCCATCAGAGACTATGAACGCATTACATATAGCAAAAGTCTTCGACAGAGTTGAATAGCTTAGTTGCGTGTCATGGCGTTTTGATCTGTGTTATTCAGTCTTTGCTTCAAAAATTGTGGTGCCCCGCCTTGAGGCCTGGACAAGTAACGGTGAGTCTATGAAGATGACTCACTGTCTAGCAAGGGGGGTGTATTATCTGCTTCATACTGAGCAGAATTCAGTACTATGTGCATAGCAATGCAAAACATACCCTGCTACCATGTTATGTAAAAAATGCAGTAGGCCTGTATATTTCCTTCCAGTCACTTCTTTAGAGCTTGAAAATAGAAGGCAGCTGGACTTCTTTCAAGAGGCGTTTTCCCTTAAAAAAAAACAAATGATGGAAAGGCACAAGTATTTACCCTGGGGGTACCCTTTTGGAAGTGATCCTTATTGATAATGTGAGTCACCAAATGAGCCAAGATGTAAAAAAAAACAAAAAAACAACTTGGGTCACTCACATTACCATCAGTGGGGGTTCAGAATGAAACCTCTGTGAGGCCTTGCTCTAACATGACCTATTGAGATCACCTGAGGAGAGTTGTGATTCATTTCAGAAATGTGGGGTATAAGACATGACCACAGTGCAAAAAGATTGCCCCACATTGTTGTTGATACTAGGAGCACAATTATTCAGATCTCATTTTCAAATACTGTTAAAGCGAATCATCATCATTTATTTAAATCTGAATCATGTTGTTCTGAACTTATAGTAGTTATAAATAAACAATACATAACCAGCTTCTTAACCTCCCAGTTTGACAGTTTCTGTGATGATAAAACATATTTAAACTACAAATCCCAAACCGACTACACTTGAATATGAGAGGACTAGCTGATTGGAAGGAAGAGGAGGTCTTTGCTCAACTAAAGTGAAATGCAAAGTCAAGACTTAATCTTAATCAAGACTTAATAATCCAGAAGTTTACATTAAAAGAAGAGCATACGATTCTACTTTCAGCTGTGTTTTGCCTTCATGTTATACCAACTGATGTGTCATTCAGCTCAATTACAGATACATATTGTGACTCAAATTCAGGCAGGCTGTTGAACACTACAGTCACGCAGTAGGCTGTCAGTGTCCACTGAGAACAGCTTTCCCACAATATGTTGTTTAGCATAGCACTCAGCCACTCCACATATATAGCTGTGGGGACCCGGTTGCTATGCGGAGTCTGCAGTTTTCTGCACTAATGGAACAATAAACATAGTGAACCACCTCTCCAGTCAAGCTGAAAATGTGTTTTACAACAGTTAGTAAAATGTGCACCCATAACAGTTTAAAAGCTAATTACAGACATTGTGTATGTGACACCGTGTTTTAGAGTGCAATGAAGTGCTTGTGTTGCTGGCGAATATGATAATTATATTATTAAGCCTATAAAAGTTGAGTTGTGACTGTTGGCTATAAAAATGTATTGTAAAACATTTTTTAGGCTTTGACAACTACATTTGTAACAGTATATTGACATATCAAACTGAAAATACGTTTGATTAGTATTAAAAAGAAGTAGCAGTCAGTTGCGCCTCTGCTAATTTGCTTGATTGTCAACCGCACTTTAACAGCATTTATAAGTAACTTATAAACTCAGTAACAAAGTTGGTTTTCATCATATTTGTTCAACTGACAATGTCTCTGAAGTGAGTGATTCATACATAAACCACATTTGAGTTGCACTTGTCCAGTGTTTGTGTGGCTTTTTTGTTTTTGTTTTTTGTTTGTAGTATCTAATATTTTATTTTACACTTTCAGCTGGTACATGTGCTCCCATCACAGCTCTGAAACAATACAGGCACAGTGGAACTGAGAAAATCAGCCAGACGTCATCACCATGTTGGAGGAGGACATGGAAGTGGCCATCAAAGTGGTCGTGGTCGGCAATGGAGCTGTCGGCAAGTCCAGTATGATCCAACGTTACTGCAAGGGCATTTTCACTAAAGACTACAAAAAGACAATTGGAGTGGACTTCCTGGAAAGGCAGATACTGTAAGATATTCATTTGAAAGATGTTCCACATTATTTATCAGTTATAGTCTATAATCAAAGTCACAGAGGGTCTGTTAACTAAATACAACTTCATCGGTATAAAATTGTTTTACAATATTAAATACATATTGGAATGTGCAATCCTGTTGGTACCCACATTTTAGGTTTAATCAGAAATTACTCTTTTTAAAAAAAAACAGAATTTTACTAAATTTGAGACATTTTACTTAAAAAGGCCACTTTGTTATATTATATTCAGCTTTTATTTAATTAACATTAATTATTATTATTTCGTATTTTGTTAACCACAGCACAGTGGTTTTTCCATGTTATAAATAATAATTACAAGAGAAAGTTATTTGACGAGAATTTAAAAAATATATACCGTATTTCCTGGACTACAAAGCGCACCTGAATATTAGCCGCACAAGCTAAAATCAGGTGAAAATCCTGTTTTGTACATACATTAGCCGCACCTGACTAAAAGCTGCAGGTGTTTCAATGTTGACTTATCATATGTAAGAGAATATGCACAAAGGGAATTGTCAGGAAAGAGATGGTTGTTTGGAGACACACCCCTTTTATTAATATTTTGAAAAACAAGTTATGGGTACATATTTGCATAACTTTTTAGGTATATGTACAAGTAGCGGTAATTACAAGTACGAAACATGTACTGTGCTTCATAAATGAGTAAGAAATGTAGTAGATAACAATAACCTACAGCACACCAGAAAAATAGATTCGGACTACCTTTTAGGCTCAGGTGCAGTGACACGGCTTTAACAAGAAGAAACGCTGAACGCGTAGCGCTACTTTGAAGTTTGTTTTTCGCGCTACTTGTACGGCACTATGTTGCCTGGCGGATGGACATGTGACCAACATACCACTCTTGAACCCCGATACTGTGTGTCTGATCACATGCCCTTCCGCCAGGCAACGTAGTGCCGTACAACAGCGGAACAAACAAAACAAATCGTCTTACGA